TGCCTGGACGAAATGAAAAAGGCCTTTAACAATCAATAGAGCTTTGGAAAATTGTCAGATTGATATGTAAGTATAAGTAAATAAGCTTAAAAAAAAAAAACCTCGCAAGCGGTACTCTACATATCCATCCATCTAGCCATCCAATCATTCAGCATGGTGACATTGAACAGCTGAGCCAATACGTCCATTTCCAAATGACAGAGCTAATGAACTGAAGAGGAGGATGCAGCGAGTCTACTGAAGTCAAAAGGGAGCCAGCGTTAGTCAATATTGGCACCAAGACATTAGCAAAGACATTTACCCTTCCCTTCTCCTTCCCCCCCCCCCCCCCTTTCTTATTCTTTCAGCCGTTCCAAGCCACCTCCCTCAATTTCTCTCTCTGCTCTTCTGCTTTACCCCACTTCCCCTTGAGAGTGATGCCGTTTCCCCCCCGACACTCATTTCACTCCCTAAACTGTACCTTGTTCCTGTCCACTGCTTTCTTTGTTTCATCTATACCTCATCCTTCCTTCCTTTTTATTTCATCCACGCCTCATCACCTCTCTCCCTTTCTTCAGATAGACAGACGACAGATAGACAGACAGACAGATAGATAGACAGATAGATAGATAGACAGACAGACAGACAGACAGACAGACAGACAGACAGACAGACAGACAGACAGACAGACAGACAGACAGACAGACAGACAGACAGATAGATAGATAGATAGATAGATAGATAGATAATAACAAAGCACTCACTTCTTTCCTGTGCTACTTGTTTTCTGACAAACACACAAATACACACACTCACACAAACTTGACCACCTGTGGTGTGTATTAATTGTCTATGGGCCCTGATGGGGGGTTAGTGAGGCGGAACAGCCTTGGTATTTGCTGACCTGCCGGGCCGTGAAATCTCCCTGCATATGCACACGCCTCATATCCATTTAAATAGATTTAAATAAACGACCTCACACTGTGACCAGATTGGACGCAAGCACGGACGGACGGACGGACGGACGGACACAGAGAGATAGGTGGACGAGATAGAAGGCAAAATGCCGTTAAATGCAGTTTTTCCTTCCATTTCCATAAAGCATGGGAATGTGATGATTGATGGCTCGGCGGCGGGAAGGCGAGGCGTTGTGGCGCTCGCGCTGATAGATGGATAGATGATGTGTGCAGCGAGGGGGAACAGAAGGAGATTCCATTTCAGATCTGCCCTCATCTGATGCACGCCCGTGCCAGTGCTCTAATATGTAGATTGTGTTTAGCCTTTATCTTTTGCAGTGATATCAGAGGGCGGGGCGTGAGCACGCACACACACGCACACACACACACACACACCATTACCCACGGGCCCTTCCAGTTATCACTTACTGTGTAAACAGCAAGCACACAAATACTAATTTGTTTAAATAACGCGTAACTTTCTGTCACATCTGTCTTGTTCAAGGTTGTCCCTGAGTTCTGAGACACCAGGTGTTGGACTTTTACATCACATCATAATGATTTCCCTGTTTGTTTAGCTTGGACACTAATCGTTACGGTGTTTTAACTAATTTGACTAATAGCCTTGAAAAAAAAAAAAAAAAAAAGAGAAAAACTCACTTTGCTTTTCAGTCGGATGGTTTCTGTGTAAACATGTGTATTGACTGACTTTACACCGCTTCCGAATAAGAAGACACATATGGATGTTTATGCTGGCAGTTGGCCACTGAGTGCCCTTCACTGTGGCACAGCAGCAGCAACCCTTGGGCACAAACAGATGCCATGTGGTACATGTCAGCCTACTCTGGCCACTCCAAAAGCACTCGAAGGTGGGTCAGAGTAAACATTGTTTATCTGGCAAAGATTTTTGTAGCACAGTCCTCCTCCATTTTGTTCTCATTTGGGCACTGCGACGATATTCTTCTTCTGGTGGCCAGTGAGTGAGTGGCTGGTTGAGAAAAACGTGGAGCCAACATTGAAGCGTGCAAGAAGTATTCATGTGTTATGGACCTTACACTGTTCTGATCTTCTACAAAGTCTTTCTCTAAAAAGGCAAAAAAGAAACTTTCAGCTCTGGATTCAAAGCTAAAACCTGGACATCACCAAAACCTTAGTGCAATCATGGATATACTACATTTCAGTGAGGGATTTTATGTTGTCAGCAAACTCTCCTCAGTCTTATACATTTCAACAAGTCCTCATATCTAAATGTCAAATCACTGTTCTCCACTAGTTTGGTTATGTTTATGCAACTAGGTTAAAGTGGGAGTTACTGTTCTGCATAAAATCCCTTGTCCTAAACTTGATCTTGAGTTTTCAGTCCTGGACAACTCATCACAGGATTTCCACTAAATTTAATGAAGCTATAGTGAAAGCTCAATCAGGAAGACTATCTTCATGCTGACTCTTCTTTTTTCTCTTGCTCTTTTCCTTTCCTGCTTCCAGCTCAATCCGCTGACTTGAGTCTTTTCCCACTTAAGAGTTCAACCGATCAGATTTTGCCATGACCTCTGTAAGCCAATTGTCTCATTACTGTCAAACTGTGAATCTGTTCTTTTCCTCCTCACTTGTCAAATAAGCTTCACTCTTGATTGAAACAGTTCTAATATCACTGTGACTCCTGCAGGTTCACTGTACGACGAAATACCAGCATGAACATCATAGCAGCCACAGAGCAACATCCTTGAAAGCACACGCAACAACCTAGCAACACCATAGCAACCATCCTGAACACCCTTGCAACTTAACTTCAAAAAATTTAAGCAACCACCCAGTCAGTATGTAATATGGGGAAGAGTAGTAAAATATAAAATGAACATAAATCATGAATGCTGTCTAACAGTTTTCTGAACTTTTCTTTATTGTAAGAGTTGAATACGCATTATCTAAAATAATAGCAACTAAGATAGAGATGGGAAACTTCTGGAACATCATAGCCTCCTGATATCCACCAATGTGAGATATTTAAAGGGTAAACTTAAAATAAATAAATAAATATAATTCAACACGGCTTGAGTCACTGTCTCAGGTGTGTAAAAATACTACATTTTCCACTAACGTCATGTTCTAACTTATTCATCCGTGGCTGCACTCGGGAACCAGTCTTTTTGTAGGATGACACAGGGCTGTGTAAAATGTCAACCTGTACAATACACCACACGAAGAAATACCTTGGCGTATCTATAGAGCTGCCCATCCCAAAGCTTTTTATCTGTCTCCGCGCTCTGTTCTTTTATTCATTATTCTATTTCTTTTTCCTAGGAGGGAAGCACTGTCGGTGGAGGTCTAAACACCCCGGAGCGGACGGAGGGATTTCAGGTGTCAAGGGAGAGAGAGAGAGAGAGTCAGAGAGGGATGTGAATAATAGATCAGAGAGGGGGAAAGAGAAAGTGGGAAAGAGTCGGGAGAAGAGAATGAGGGAGACATAAAAGGTGGGAAATGGAGAGAAGTGAAAAGAGAGAAAGAGAAACAGATATAAAAGGGGGTGTCAAAAGGACAGAGGGAGATAGGGAGGGAGCAGAGGGGATGCATGGGAGTGAGAAAGAGGAAGGAAATAGGATAGACTGTTTTCTTGGAGGGCAACCATGACAGGAAAACACACAGCCATAAAAGTCATGCATCCATCCATCCATCCATCCATCCATCCATCCATCCATCCATCCATCCGTCCGTCCATCCGTCCGTCCATCTGTCCATCTGTTCTTCCCTCCCCCGTCTCTTCCCTGTCTCCAGTGTGGCCAGGAGTTGTTGCATAAGACAGCGATTCATCTTTTATTGAAATGGGAAGCTTCTATAAATATGTCCACCTTGTTCTCTGGAGTTTAAAAGCTCAACCTGTAATGCAGCTAAAAATAGACAAAGGATACCCACAACAACAACAACAACAACAACAACAACAACAACAACAACAACAACAACAACAACAACAACAAATCAAATTATACTGTGAGGCCCACAGGACACAACTTCTGTTCTTTCTTGAATTATTTCACAAGGACTCGAGTGTCTTCTCAAGTGTTTCCTTTTTTTTTTGACAATAAATTATATATATTTTTTCCCTTCAGAGACTTTGCTTTGTTTGTCTGCTGAGACAGGCCTGCTACTTACTGTTATATAGAAAATCAAATGTTGACTAATGTGACTTAAAAGCCAAATGCTGATGTATTTGTACTGAAGCTGCCAGCTGCCCTAAATGCACCAATATTCATTATCTCTAAATGTGTTTCCCTCAGAAGTATTAAGAAATTATCAGGAACATCCAACATTATCCAGACTGATTAATCAATATTAACTGCAGGTTTTATCTACTTCTCAATACCTGACTGTCCAACATTTAACATGTCAATGTGTTAAGTATTTCATATACTGTAATCCATGGGGCCACAACCTTTTTATATAAAAAAAGAAATGTATTTTTGTGTTTTCTTCACTTTAGTTCATATTAATCTGCATCTACTCAGACTTTTCCCTCTTCAAATTTAAAGTACTCTTAAGTAAACTTTCTACAGGAAAAAAAAGTTACAAGGTTCATTGGGATAGTAAATATATTGGTTTATCACTACAGGGTGTTTGGTCTGACTGTTTTTATATGTAAACCAATAAAAACATGAGTAGATATGGTATAAATAGAGTAAATCAGAGTTTAGATGTGTACACCCCTGTTTATAATCCTATATGCTATCACCATTTAATTACAGTGACAGCTGTTCAAGAAAACAATAATTAGCCAATCAATACACCTGGGATTTTCCTTCATTTTAATAATCAGGTTTCATCTGATATCAAATTCTAATATTAATTACTGTAAAAACACACACGCCTTTCTATTTTGCTGTCTTGTATTTTTGTTTCTCGCATGATTCCCAAGTAAATTTTTTCTCATCACGTTACAATACAATGTAAGAATCACACTTTGTGTCTTTCAAGAAAGACGTATTCCCTCTCAGTATCTGCAGAGCAAATAACACTTAATACCAGGAGACTAATTAAAGCAGAAAAACAAAGAAAAAGGTTGTTGATCCTTACCTGAGCAGATCAATTTCATCAGCATGAACCCCTGTTCACAGTGTTTCCTATTGGCACATCTCAACAGGCAGGAAGCCAACTTCAACTGGTCTCTACCAAGCAGAGCGGCTAAATATGTAACTACAAAGACAGAGAGAACGAGAGAGGCAGGCACATCAGTGCATGGAAATTGTGGGGAGCAGGCGTAAAGGGAGCAGGGAAAGAAAACAAACAGCAGGCAGGTAGATGGAGACTGAGAGAAATAAATGAAGAGAGTGAGAGATGCTGGGTTGTTTTACCAAGAGACAAAGAGAGCGAGGGAGGGAGGGAGGGAGGGAGCAGAGACTGATGTGCGAGTCACAACCTCCAAGCCCGGCTGTTTATAAAGCCCCAGGCAGAGTGTGTGTGTGTGTGTGTGTGTGTGAGGCAGTCAAGTGGCCACCCACGCCACCCTGTGTGTGAATATGTGTGTGTGTATGTATGTGCGTGTTCATTGCTCTTTCCGGTACATGACCACAGGGTTCAAATGTTCCAATCAATACCACACACACACACACACACACACACACACACACACACACACACACACACACCACACACACACACACACACACACACACACACACACACACACACACACACACACAAATACATACATGCAAATACTACTGCTTTACTACAGGAGTGTAATACTGCCTACAACTGCTCCTACTACCATTAACAATATCTGTCATAGATATTATAAACACACCTAACAAGAACTACACAAAAAGTACTGCTTGTTAGATTTTATACCAAACTTCCAGTGTGCATGCTTTCTCATTTTACCAAGAACCTCGTCCTCTGCTGTTAGACCTTGCACAGTGGCTTGCTGCCATTGTGAGTACGCATGCGAATGGGTGAATGAGAGGCCAATCGTGAAGCACTTTGGATAAAAGCCCTATATAAATATAGTCCAGTTACTACTTAAACATAGATTTAAATCCTGTTTATTCTCTTTTCTAAACACAAATAACTTTGCAGTTTCTATGATGCAGGACAAACTAGTGCCATTTAGGCCTAAATTTAGCAATTGCTGGGCCTCCACCAGCTCTGACGCAGCCCTGCCCTCCTGCTCTACGGTACATCAAGTTGTCTATCCTGCCCTGTTCTCTGATCCTTCTCCACATACCCCCACCTAAGCTACAGGCACACGTTACTGACGCTCACAACTGATACTGGACTTTTCCATTTCATTATCTTATTGAATTTTTTTACTACATTAGTATCAGAACCGGTTATAATCATACTGTTTTAGCCTTTTAGTTAATCAGGGCAGTTTAACTGAGAGCCAGGCTTTCTCCTGTTGGAGGATCATGTATCTAAGGAAGTTTTATGTAAGTTTGACGACTTCCTGTTCATGTTTTTGTAATCTCACACAGCTCCTGTTGCATCACAACCCATCCAAGTAAGAGAAATCTCTCTCTGAATGTCCTCTCCTGAGGCTTCTTTTATTTGTTCCTCATGAAGAAACATTAGTTTTTCTTGTCTGAGAGAGCTTCTTTATCTTCTTAGGAATCATCAACAACGGTATAGAACTATAGTGGATGTGGGCCTATAGAGCCCCATGATACGTTGCATATGGTAATGGTCTTCACAAACAGACCAGAGTGGGGTAAACACGTCACATGTTGTCAAACATATTGTCGCTGTCAGGTCAAAGCGGTGAGATGTCACACTACACTTACTGTAATTCTGATAAATCATGCACACTGTGTATGATCTAATGCTCACTTCCTGTGTACAGACACAGTGTGTGCGTGTTTGTGTGTGTGTGCAACTCATGTGAACCTACGATGCGTTCTGCTTTGTTGTTACATAACTGTCCCTGCTCACACAGACAGATATTACAGACAACACACTCTGGCAGCGAGACTTCTCTCCCCATCTCCCTCTCTGCCTCACACACACACACACACACACACAGACACACACAGAGACACACAGACACACACATACAGACACATACAGACACAGACACACACACATACAGTGGGTTTTTCTCACTTCGCTCTTGTACTGTTGTGTGTGAGTGAGATAAAGAACAGAACTCACAGGATTTGTGTCAACTCTAACCCGACTGCAGGCGAGCTACAGAGGAACTGCTACAGTACGAGGGGTAACACAGCCTCACCTAACCTCCTCTACATTACAGTAAATGAAAGTTAAAATGACATTAAAAACATACAATCACACAACACAATTTTTGTTAGGCCACAGTGTTGTGTGCAGGGTTTTGTGCTAATTATTGATACATTATTATGGTAATGATGGTCTCACAGTAACAGGCTATTGGTTTAATTACTAATTTAAATACTTAAAAATAATAAAGATATAATAATACCTGTTTGTTTCTTCATTTGTTATCATTTTTTGATCATATTGATTTATATTGATTATATAATCCCAGGAAATATACCTGTTCAACGTACAAAATAACTAGTTATGTAAGCAATGAAGTGAAGTTAGTTGTTTTACTGATATTTTATGACGTGCTGCTTTCGCTCCATGTTGCAGGAAGATCAAGTGCTGCATTAAAGTATCTCCATAAGCTGATTACTGTCACCAAAAACTGAGCCTCATTTTAATGGAAAGGTTGAAGTTTTATATGATTTAACTAGGAGCGCCTCTCTAACTCTTGTTTCAGAGACATTAGATGTAGCTGTGTATTATGGGTTTTTAAGAAGGGAAAGGAAATAAACAACACCAGATCATCCAAACAGAAATATAACCTCAAACATGCAGCACTGATATAAAAAAGTTACTGTTGTGGGGGGAAAAAAAGAGAAACAAATGAATATTATTCTCTTTAATGAAGAATAAGTGAGAGGGTGTTCAGAGGGATTCGGATTTTTATAGACTTGAATGCAGTTTCAAAATGGAAATGATGTCATTTCTCTCCAGACTTGCATTGCTTATAGCTGCCAACAGGAGGCCACTGCCAATTTCTCAAAATCGCGTAGAAATGTCCTCAGAGAGAGTTTGGTTGGAGATGAAAAGCTTCTGAAAACTGGACAAGCAGAGCAGAGTAAACACTAATAATTATAGAATATAATTTCAACTTCACAATCACAGAACCTCTCCTGCTACTTCTCTGCATGCAAGACAAAGCATGTACACAACCGACTGTCCTATAGGGATGAGGTTGGAGTTTACACCTTGATTTAGTGTTGGTTATTTAACAGTTTTAGTTGCCTTAACTTAAACAAATCTTGATCATAGATGTAAGCAGATCCCAAAACACTCCAGATTAGTTTTCAGAACAGCACTTTCAACCAAAAATATAATGTTCTGATCACTTTTATATGATGAAATGAGCAATGATAGAGCAGTACATTTTAATGATGACATCTCATCATTTAGGTTCCAGGCCATTGAAAAGGTGACCTACCTATCTACCTGAGAGAGGCGGTAACACTGATGACACTCTTAATAGAAGATATACAAGTATACTGGATATTCAATTTGCAAACGCTATCCCCCAAAGGACTGAATGACGATATCCCGTGGCATGTGGGACATAACATGGTTCATGGTTGTAAGAACTGTTTAAAATACATCTGACAAAACATTAGGATGATCAATAAATCGTGAGAGCAGTGTGCGGGATATTCTTCTTTTCAAGACTGATGTGATAAAATGGGAAAGACCACTGAAAAAAAAAAGCAAAGCAAAAGTAACTTGTCAAGTTGTCACAAAGCAGACGCTGTAACTCATACGCCACTGTGCAGAGCTTCTAATACTCCACAGATTACACAAAAGCAGCCGATGATTGGGGGAGAAAAGAAGGAGAGACTGAGGGACGGGACCAGTCAGAGAAAAAGAAACTGAGGGAATCAGGTATTGTCTGTAGCCACAACAGCACTCCATCATTTCCTCATCTCTCTTTCTGGTATTCCCTCTCTCTGATGCTCTCTCTCCCTCTCTCCCTCTCTCTCTCTCTGTCCCTCTCTCCCTCCTCTCATCCATCTCCTCCCAGCTCTCTCTGACAGTCTATTTGGCCCACACAGCCCTGTCATCCATTCAACCTGTCAGTCCTGGCAACGGCACCAATATCACACCGACTCGCGTTTGTAGCCGGGGCAGGCAGAACCCGCGGTGAGAGCGTCCGTGCCATCGCTGAAAGCCCGTGTGTTTAACTCCCGTGGCGGTTCGGTCACGGAGCCGACCCCGGAGTGAGAAGGTCAGAGGTTCAGTCCTTGTGGAGCAGAGAGTTCATCAAGGTTTTCGTGCAATCCACATTTAACACCGTTACTGTATTTTAGTAACTTTTGCGGACTTCAACTGGTAATTTCACGTTATTTTACAGAGCTTGGCCCAGTGGGATGTGGGAGCATGACTTATCAGAGTGGACAAGGCTATAACAGAAGTGATGAATCAGATTTTAAACCAGTTGTCTTGGTAACGGTAAAAATTTTGGAAGTAAAAACAAACATGGACTTATTTAATGTGTCCGTTTCTATTGCCAGTTTCACTGTGAAATTACTTGTGAGTACAACTACCTTGAGCACAGTAAGTCCAAGTTTAACAAAAAGCAGCTTTTCCTTTCCTGTTTAATAACATGTCTATTGCTTCATCCTCATTAAATTATTTACATGCAAACTGAAAATGAATAAGATCAACATGTGTTTAGATGATTACCTTAAAATTTCATGCCAATTTGCTGCAATCAACACACCTTCTTCCTTGGTTTTTCATATTTGCACTGAGACACTACTTACACTCCTCTAACTACTGTAATATACATCTATGTTAAACTGAGGCTTTATGAACTCAAGCAATTATATCTCAGAATTATATATCCAGGGGTTAATCTCATTTTATTGAATTTGTCAAAGGGCTTTTTGTAGTGTCGACCTTCATGGCTGAGTGCAGAGCAGAAGCCACTTAGATAACATGGTAGGGCTCTGATATCCTCTGGGGAGCCCGGTACTAAGACTGTGTGCTGTCCTTTCGCTGTGAAGCTTTTAGATCAAACTGTCAACCACTGTCACTGGAAGAGTCACATGTGCTAAAACTGGAAATGTGGCTTTTATCACACGGACACGGATAACCACACTTCTGCTACATCGAGGGAATTACTTGTTAAATGTTTTATTTTTATTATCTATTTCCTTTTTTTCCCCAGTTCAAATATTCTCTTTTTATCTTGACTCGTGTGGTTTTATTACATCACCTGCACCTGTTTGGATTTCCTCTCTTTTATAAGCCTAAATAGTTTTTATATAACTCAAACACACTGATGGATCGTGTGGCATGGTAATCTGGCAGGCCTCCCTCTCCGCGCTGTTACTGTTACAGTAGGGTTGTAAGGCTACTGTACTTCACTGCTGAAACGAGAGAGTGAAAGTGTGTGGGAGGAAAGCCGAGCGAGAGAGAGAGAGATGAGCCTATCCAAAAATCACTATAACACGCCTACAGTAGTCCTATAGGAACCTACATTGTGTTTGTGGTACTCAATAGTGAATTTGCTTAAATAAAATAATTTGCTTGAATTAAATATCAAGTCTATAGCAACTTCTTGTTGGTGAGTGTGTCTGTAACACTCAGTAACAAGTGTATTTTTTGTATTTACATTTGTTCTTTGATTTCCCTCCTCTGTAGCATGTCTGTCAAGAATTGCTCATGGATGATCAAATAGAGTGAGATCTGATGACTCAAAAGGACATTTCATAATCATCAAACCATCACTTGACCTCTCATGTCCTTCTGATTTCGATGTTGTTCTACACTTATTTTTTCAGGTTGTTCCTTTTATTCCGATATACAGGTATATTTAGAGCAGTGGTGGAAGGCATGTTCAAATCTTTTACATAAGGTAGTAATGTAGTCATTTTAAAGTACTCTTTTACAAATCTGCACTATTAGGCCTATAAATTATTGGATTATCATTACTAAAGCATTCATGTGTAAGCTGCATTTTCATGTTATAAGACCATGGTGGAGCTAATTCTAAATTCTTTATTTATTAGAAGAAGTAATAATGTATTATACTTTAGAAACTTATCTGTATTTTTATTTAATGTAAAGGTTAACCAGCAACCACAGGTATAGTAGAGTATATAGAGTATAAATATATTATTTGCCTCTGAAATGTAGTGGAGAGGAATTAAGTAGCATAAAATAGCAATACTCAAGAACAAATACCTCACATTTGTACTACGCTTGAGTAAATGGAGTTAAATGTCACCAGTCACTTAGCTGACAATACTTTATAGTGTGTTCATATAGTATCCTGTTTGTGTACCTATTGAAATATTACATAATATTACTGTTATGCAGTAGGAGGTAAAAGACACCATGAAGATAATGTCACTATACATTTGCCACTGAGTACCAAAGATATTAAATGCAACTGCAATGTCCGTGCTAGTGTCATATTTATGTAGTTAATACATTTCTTATAGTTTCAGGATGAGCAGAGAGAGACAGAGACTTTAGCTTGGGATGGAGAAGGAGAGACAGAGAGAGAGAGAGAGAGATAGAAAGACAAAGAGAGAGAGAAAAAGAGAGAAGCATAGAGTCCGACATTGGTTGCTTACCTGCAAAAATGTATGAATATGTGTCCTCGCGCTGGCAGGAGTCCTTTCATCAGCTCCTTAATGTCGCTTCACATCACGGACAACAGCAGCAACAACATCCCAGACTGTCACCGAGTCCGAAGGTCCTCCCCCTCCTCCCGCTCTCTCTCTCTCTCTCTTCTTCTCTCTCTCTCTCTCTCTCTCTCTCTCGGGACTTGGCCCACCTCCTCAGAATAGCGCTTCGTTAAACTCTCGGTGATACCCGAGATTTACCCGCACGATGATCAACACTGAGCAGAGAAGCGCTCCGATCGTCCGAGCATCCCCCCTCCGAGCAGTCCCGTCCTCACCACCGGAACACCCTCACCACCACCACCTCGATCATCATCATCACCATCACTGTCACCATCCTCCAACCCGCAGAGCTCTATATTTCTTCATTCCTCTGTCCACAGTATCATCATCATCATCATCATCATCATCATCAGCTATGAGCAGCTTTTCTCTCCCGCATCCTCATCATCCTCGTCTGACTCTGTCCTCTGGCTTCCGCACCGTGTCTCTGTCCCGTGGCTCGTCCCGTGGCTCGGCTCTGCAGCCCAGTAAGTGTGTCATGCCTGGGAAGAGAGGCGCACCATCCAGGGCCGGCACACGACGACGGTGGGACTGGCAGCCAGGAAATGCCTCGTGAAAAAACAAACAGCAGTGATGCCCTGAAAAAATTTGAAAAATTATTTAATGTGCAGAAATCAGAACTTTACTGAATTCCTTGAACTCATACAGGATTTATCCATGCATTTAAGTACAGGTACAGTTTAGTCCTACACACATGGTAGGGAAGTTTTAATATCATAATGATGCCAAAAAATAAACTGAATTACAGGCACAATATGGAATATTGTAGATTATTATTGTGACTGCATTCCCTAAGAGATTATAAGGTGGTATAATAGTGGCTATGATAAGGCACTTTAACCACAAGTATCAATGTAGACTATTTTTTTTAAAAGTATGTGGACACCCCAATCCACATCATACATATCTTACACAAAAGAGTGCTTAAAACTTTAGGGCAACATTTGGAACAAAGTCAGTCCCATGATTAGGTGGTTTTCCCGGTTTGTTGAGGAAGAACTTGACCCTGCAGTCAAGAGAGCCAAAACAAAAACAATCCGGCCACAGCCATTAGCCCAGGCTAGCATAGCCGTGACGTGCTCTACAGCAATGCTGACCGTTAGCCTGCTAGCTATAGCAACCTTTGCCGAACACGTTCATGCTATCAGTAACAGCAAGTTAGCAAACGTTGTCATGACTACTGTAGCCGGTCACTCGTCAAAACAGACATGTAACAGTATGTATCCATCAAGTTACTTACATATCGAGAAGAAGAAAAGAAAGTCAGTTCCGAGGGTGAAGCTGGAGCTCTTTAGCAGCTCGTAGGTTCGCCATCCTGGTAAAGCCAGACCAGAATTGACTCCACAATCGGACTGGGAAAGAAATTCAGCCTTGGTCTCGTGACACTGATGGAGCAGTTAAAAACTTTTTAAACTTTAAGGATTATTTTGATAGGCCACTAGCCGACCTGCCGGAACTGTACCATCTCACATGTGGGCGGTCCCTTTGTGTTTCTAAAAGTGGGGAGGGGCCAACGTTCAACAGGTGGGACTCACGTGCACTAACATGCACATGCACTGGCAGACCAGATACCAAAACAAATAACAGAGAGACTTCTTTCTCTGCACAGGAAGCCATTATTTCACATCTCATTATATCTTTGCTCAGAAAATAGTCGTTTGCTGCTATATTATTGTTTATCTAGTTTATAGAGGCTTTAAGCAACAATACATCAAGTAATGTTCACATGTCCACATATTTAAGATTTGTACACCTATGCTGAATCCACACATGATTTTAATTATTCTGGCTGTGACCTCCGGCAAAGGTCAATTTTCAATAAGATTTAGGGGTATAAAATTTTGGAATTGCTTTCTCCATTTGGCAACGAACTGTTCCTCAAAAAGATTCTTAAAAGACCATTTAACTGGTGTTTTATAACTGTATACCCCATGTATTACTGTCCATGTAGTTATGTCTTCTTTGTTTTGCTCATATTGCACACACATCACATTCTCACATTTTCTGCTTTTATTTTGATATTGATGTTATTATTGCTGTTAATTTTATTATATAGCCTATATTTTCAATCTATTAGTTTCTAATCATTTTTATATAGTCACATTGTTTTCTTGTATGTTTATTTAGTATTTCTATAACTTTGTGATGGCCCTAAATAAGACCACTGGACTTTTTGCCTCTCCCTGCACTGTATGCTGTTTGTTTTCTTTGTCAAGTTCTGTGTATTTTAAATTGTACAAAAATAAATAAAACTAAAATCTACCGACTGTTTGACTGACATCTCCCTGCTTTTCCTTTGTTGCACTTGTTAGAGCAGGACATATTACACCACTATGGTAGACCTTCTTCACAGCACATATTTTGTCAATAAAATGAATGATAACTAAATTCCATGTAGTTGCTTTGGGACACCTGAACAGAGTCATAATGAAACACCTGTATGACAAATCAAAATGTCTTCTGTGAAAAAATTCTTACAACTACATGGAGTCCATGTAATCATACTCCAATAACCATAATCCCATTATATCTTAACCCACCTTGAACTCAAACAGATGTTTAATCAGCCAGAATTCAAAACACAGTCTTTAAAAACAAGTAGCATGAAAATCCTGACAAACTGCATCAAATTATCCCATTTTTTTATTTGTTACTGATGTTAAAAATTGCCTTTAAAAATTACATTTATTCAAGTCAATAAGTACAGTCTTTAGGTTTACGATCCAGTACTTTAACTCCCTGATATTTCAGAGAAAAATGTGGTTTTGATCACTATGATTTAAATTCAGCATGAGATATCCACATGAACTGCTGTAAAATGTTTTCAAGAACAAAACGTGGTTTCAGCATAAGCACGGACATACTTCTAGACTGCGTCTAAAGGTTTTTAAAGGTGTAAGAACTTGGAGAATATTCCCAGTTTCTTAATGTCTTAACTAATATTTAGTAGGTTTCAGCTTTTACTTTTGATGCTACCAATATTATTTGTTTCCTTCCGACTGGAGTGAAACAGGAAATCTTACTCTTCTTCTTCTGCTGTATACCAATCTGTATCAAGATGCTGCTCTGAAAAAAAAAACAACATAAACATAAAATACAATTTGAATAAACATAAGATGGACATTTCCTGCTCAGACATTTTTGACAGGGAAAATTCAGTATGGCTGCCTTGGCATGATCCCCTTTTTTTTTTTTTTGACAGTCAAAATACCGTAAAGCAGAGTCAGCCTAATACATTTGATACAGGGTGTATTTTGTGCTTTAAACCACAGTGTGGCGACAGAGCACTGCCAGTTTTGTTGCCAGTTGGCAGTTTGGCTTTTTTAGGTTGTGCTGTTTTCTCCCTGTGGTGGTTAATAAATTATCCATTATCTCATTGCTCATGCACATAAAGCATATCAGAGATGCTAATTAACCAGATTCAAACCCACAAACAGGCAAAATATTCCCTTTTGACCTGGAAACTCTGCTGCAGTGACACTTTTTTCTTGTCCTTTAAAGCATTTTTTTTTGACATTTTTATGAGATTGGAGTTACAATTTCTAAAGCATACAGAGACATTGTAATGCATTTAATCATATGCACATGTTAATATTGAATCATTCAAAGGTGCTAAGAGGTAAAAACATACCACAGATCAAACCTCAGCAGATCAAAGAAAAGCTTTGTATTCAGTAGCACTGTTGTTAGTGTAAATAGATGATTTTTGCATTATTGTGACTTTAATTAAAATCCATTTGGCTCCAGTTCAGCTCTTCTAAACTGTCCAAGACTCTTTATATGGTTAAAAAAAACTATTTTCCTTTGCTGCACTAAGCAAAAAGGGGCAAACATTTAGAATGAGAGGATGGAGAAAGGGGATATCCTCCTCTTCACATTGTTGTGAAGTATTTACCATTCACAGACAGGACATAAGTCAAGCACTTACACTGGCAGTCATTGTTGAAATCATCCTTTGTGTATACAGTATGTTACTTTATGTTACTTTGCACAAAACCACCTCTCTGAGCTGATTAGTTGTCAGAACATTCCTAGTAATGTCTTTTCTTTTTTTTTTCCCAAACATGGAACCACATCGTGTCTGGTTCCATGTTTTTGGTTCCCCTGGGTCTAATTTCAGCAAACACTCAGCGAGATGTTGGACCTCGGCGGTGTCTCCATCTGCAACAGCTCCTGCTTTTACAGCGGTTGTTTTGAACCCTGGTTTTATTTGTCAGTGTGTCAGTGGGATGTTTGATGCAGATGTGCTTTTGTGATGGTTGACTGCAGTGCTTTTCAAACCAGGAATGAGGACCAGGCGTGTTTCCAGTAGGCATCCACATGGGAGGGGTACCGGTATATTTGAGTAATCCTGCTCTACCGTGACTTACAAGTAGGGAATTGAACCCCCAGATCTGGCGGTGCCACATTCTAACTACTTACCTACATGCCACAGCTTTATTTTTGCCTCTGACAAAGACACAACCACATCTGCTTTACCGACCAACAGAGGACATGAAACAAAAGACACCCAGACACAAATCCTGACACACATTGTGAGGCCAGAACCTGTGTGTGCCATGGTGTTTAGTCTATAGATGCTTGTGTTACACCACAGTGGAAGAAAATGTTTTTCCCTCCTCCTGCAATAACAATGGAGACAGGCTTTTTATTTATGAGATTTTATGAAAAGATGTGGGCAGATGTTTCACAAATAACCCGAGTTTGTCTCAGACAATGGACAGATATTCCTCATGTTGCATTGAATGGAGAAACTGTTTTTTTCAACTGAATTTAGCCTCTAAACCTTACAAACCCTTTTAGAAACCCACTGGAAATTATTCTGACTTCCTGGTAACGTTCCAACATTTCCAGAGACCCCAAATACTCCAAGTCAGGTGTGATTATCAGGTAATTATGTGCACCAAATTATGCAAGATGTCTAGATTTTTGCATTTATTGAAATTGAAAATATTCCTTCATCTTTGTTTCTCTCAAAGTTCCTGTTAAATTGCTTCGAATTGAGAACATTGTCCAGCCTTCATCATAAACTCAAGATCCCATTTATGTGGTAATAAGTAGGAAATTCAAGGTGAATTTTTTGAACCATTTCTTCTCTACTTCCCCCTGAATCATTGGAGATCTGGGTAATGTTTATAATTTTCTT